AGAGAGAGAGAGAGAGAGAGAGAGAGAGAGGAGAGAGAGAAATAAAATTATATTCAAATATAAACAATAGTACCTTCTGGGTTGCCTCTATGATCTTTAAACATGGAGCAAACTACATATACTAGTATTTCCCACAGATACTGCTGAATATAAAACTCAGATGCTGAGATTAGCATGAACACCCACAGGTATCAGTGCAATCAGTCACTGTGGCATCTTTGATAATATGAGCATCTAATTATCTACTTGGCACTTCACTGGCATTGGCAGCCACCCTGATGGCAATGGGCTGGCCAAATTATTCAGCAATATCCCCTAAACTCCAAATCAACCAGCGGAGGAGACTGAGTTGGAGAGGATCTGCTAGTAGTTAGGATTGAATGACAAGATGACAAGATATTCATTAAATAACAGCTCTAATAGTATACACTTACTGAGTACAGCTAAATAATGAGCTAAGTACTTAATAATACTAATAGGGTAGATAATATCCTTATCTTACAGATTAAAAAAAAAAAAGATAGGACTCTGAAAAAGTAAGAAGCCTGAACAAAAGGAATTCACAGGCAGCAAAGCTTAGACTTAAACCTGATGCCAGAGACCTTGCCCTTTCCACTGTTCCAGACTTATTGCTAGGTAAATTTATAGGCCTCATTCAGTTGATAACATCAGCCATGCCCTGAATCAGGCCCTAGAAATATGAATGTAAGATTCCCTGATCCTGATTCCTGTGCTCTCCTGCAAAGATATGCACAGGTAAATGGACTGGTGAACAAGTAGAAGCATTAACAGAGCACAGGAACAGGGCACCTATCTACTTAGCAAGGAGCATGAAGCCTCTTAAGTCAAAGGGTCATTATCTCAGGGCTCCTTATTACTGACAATAATTACGATTCTCTAAATACAGGGACGGAGTTCTCTGCCTCCACAAAATACCCCATGCACCATTCCCACTGTGACCAACACCAAACAGGAAAAAAAAACACAACAGTTCACTATTATATAAAAGCTAACATCTATATAAAATGTCCTAACTATTGTATCATAAATAAATAAATATCATAGCTTTGAAAGGCTAAATTTCCGAGACTCTCCATATAGCAAAACAAAAGAAACAAGTCAGGCCCATGTAGAATTAGGGAAGAAAGTGTCACAATTGTTTAATCCATATGTGGATGATTATTATGTGATTGCTCTTCAAGGCATTAGCTTCTTCCAAAAAGTGACTAGCCCTAAAAAATGAATTGGAATTGAATCCATCACGTATTTAGAGTTTTAGTAACTATCAGTCATAAGCATCAAGGTGACATCAGTACCTGATGATCCTAGGGAAATACTGCCATAGTCATTCTAATAGTAATAAAAACCTCTATGATTCTGTAAATGCAAAGTATGTTGGTGCCTATTCTCTACTTTGATGATAAAGAATATCAATCAATGGCACATAGGAAAGTTGAGCCGTATCCTTAAATGAGGTTTTGAAGAAAGCACAGGAATGAACTGATAATTCAACCCAAGCACTTAATCTGGTTAGGCTCAGGTTTAATCCCTTTTAATGATTCACAAAGCCAAATTAGCAAGAACTTAATCTTGTCAAAATATTTCTCTAAATTGCAAATATTTTAACCAAAACAGCAGCTTAAAACATATAGAAAACATAGGCATACAGATTGAAAAGGAAAATACAAAGCTGCATCTATTCAAAGACAACATGATTATCAATATAGATAACTCCAGATTCTACAAAAACAAAAAGCTGGAATAAGTAAGTTTAGCAATATTACAGGATACAAGATCAATATAACAAAGTAAATTATGTTTTATATATTATCAATTGGAAATTGACATAGAAATAGTACTATTTTAATAGCACCAAAAAGCATAAAATAGTTTTAAAACAAATAAAATACATGCAAGGTTTATATGCTAAATATTATAAAAACAAAAATACCCAAATAAATGGAGTAGTATACCATGTTCATGGATCCAAAGACTCAGATTTGCTACAGTTGTCCCCAAGTTGATCTACTAACTCAACAAAACCCTTTTCAAAATCGTTCCAGGATATATTTGTAGAATTTGACATGGTGAAAATTCATATGGATAAGTAAAGAACAGCCAAAACATTTTTAAAAATTAAGAAAAATGTTGGAGATTTACACTAACTTATTTCAATACTTACTAGTAAGCTACAGTAATAAAGTGGTATATTGGTGAAAGGAAAGATACATAAATTAATAAAGTAGTATAGAAAATCTAGGAATAAACCAAAACATGTGAGATCAGCTGATTTTGGTAAAATTGCAAAGGTAATTTCAACAAATAATGCTGGAATAATTGGATAAACATATATAAAAAAATTACACTTCAACCATACCTCAGTCCCTTTACAAAATAAATAACTCCAAATGGATAATAATGTAAATGTAAAACCTAAATTTTTAAATTTCTAGAACAAAACAAGGATAAAAATGTGAGTTTGTGCTGGGAAAAGATCTTTTACACACAACAAAAAAACTGACCCATAAATGAAATCGATAAGTTTGGCTTTGTCAAAACTGCACTATTTTTTGTAGGTCTTGATAATTCCAAACTCAAAATAACATAAAAATATGAATCTCTCCTTCCATAGTTGCAAAAAGACAATACAGTGGTTTCTACCCCATTGCTAATGGAACCATCATGGATTATCCAGCTAGCGGTGCTTTCCTAAACTTTAGAAGCACTGTGTTGTTGTGCCTGGCCCAAGATAGTGAGTAGTCAACCAACCACCAAAATGGGGCTTGCTTCAATTTTGAGACTCAAGACTACATATAGAATTCTCTGTTTCCTAGAAAATAAATCCCATGGAGAACTTAAGTCTACTTACCTTTTCCTCTAACCATTATCTTTCCTAGGTTTTGATCTTATTATCTGATAAAGTGAGATGAAGAAATAAATAAATGACTAAAGGAGAGAGATCTAGGAGATAGAATCACTGGATGTGGGCTGAGGTTGGAGGTGACCAAGGGCTGCCCTTGGAGTTAACAGCAGCATCACTGAGGGATAAACCACTCATAAATATCATCTGAGCAGCTCAACCCAGGGCCTACTTCATTTCCCTTAATTTTTAGAGCTTGGTACAGTCCTGTTCACATGGTCTTGATGAATAGGCTTGATAAATACATGCAGAATACATTGGTTTTCCAGGCTACTAAGGTGCGGGGCTTGGTTTGGTGCATTATAAGACATGTTGTCAAACAACGAGTCAAAGGCACACAGCACTGCCCCCATCTGTGAGACTGATGGGCTCCAAATGACAGCCATGGTGGTTTTCAAAGAACCACAGATCTCCAGCTACCCAAAGCAGAACACTGAGGAACCAAAAGAAATTCAGCCCAGAAAATGCATGAACATTAAAAGCAAGGGAAAACTTGTGAAGTACTAAAATCTTTTTCAAAAACTGAGAAAGCAGGATAAACTAAATGGGAAATTCCAAGGTTTCCTCTTATCAAATTCAGGAACACTACTGTATTCAATCAGGATTCTGGGAATCATTCCAATCGGTTTCTAAGATTAAATTATGTTCTGGTTTTTGAGAAGACCTATTCAAGGTAGTGATTACAAACCCAAAAGTCCTCTCTCAGAATTGCCTAACCTCTCCAGGCAAAGCCTCCGGGGTGGGACCATTTCAGAAGGCAAGTCTGATTCAGAGAAGCTTTTTCTATCCTTTTTTTAAAGCATGCCTTAGTAGCTCTGCTTACGAGTGAATTTTTCCCATTAACCCACCTCCTACTCCTTTGATTTGCAATAGTCAGCTGGTATCAATAGAGGAAATATATTATATGGCAATGAAGCATATTTAATGCATTACCTTAGGACCTTTGAGATGCTAAGAAGAGAAAATAAGTCTCTCAGGTAGGGCTCAGATAGCACACAAGCAAAGTTATGAGACATTATGAAGGTAGCTTTTGGGGTCCTCTGTCCCCAGGTACGGGGCCATGGCTGAGAAGGCAATGGTAGTCTGTGGAGGCACCTTCTCTGACACTCACTAAGACAAATTAACCAAGGGAGTCAAGACCCACCAATACCAGGATGTCTTGAATTCAGGTGAACACAATGAGCAAAGCTGGATCCACACAAATGCATGGCTAGTTTTGCTCTCATTGTCTTTAACATTCCTCTCCAAGCCCTCTCCAGCAAAGAGCCAGCACTGAACTTACCGCAGCTGACATGCCTCTTAGAAAATTAATTTCTTCTGCTCCCACCTTTCCTAACAGATGAGTTTCTGCATATTAAAACTTACCTGGCCTTGCTACCTTTTACTCCAGCCCCTTGGAGGGACCGAGTGAATGCCTGGGTATCCTGAATACAACTTGCTACTGAAGTTTTAGTGACCAGCCTGTTATTTGCTTTGCAAATTAAACTCACCTGATCCTGCATCTTTGTAATGCTTTCACTTTGGATACCATAAATTTGGGTACTTCTCACATCTTTTACTACATATCACAGATAATCTGGATCATTAATTTATAGATGATTTAGGTCAGGGTGGTTCATTATGTACTCTTTGTTCTTTGTCACTACAGTTGTAGGAAAGGCTGTTCGTTGAAAATGCAGATCCACCGGCTTCACTGGTAATCCAGTGAACATGCTTCCCCATCAATTCTTCTTCTTACTAAATTAGTAAACATCATGTAACATCTGCACCCAGCAACGGGCTATACAGGTGCCAGGTATCAGAGTTGATATGAGAATATCAAATTCAATTAACACCCACTACCGTCTTATATAACAGATTAACTTTCCAAAATTATAAAAGGACTAAAAAGTTGGCGGGCCATGTGTAAGTAAGCTCAAGATCCAGGGGAAATCTTTGTGCCTTCCCTCAATTTTATTATAAACCTAAATCTATTCCAAAAATTAACATCTATTTTTTAAAAAGGAAAAAGCCAGCCCCCTAAGAGCAATGGACATGCACCTCTCTGGATCTCCTGTTCCTCTATATGAATCACCTTCTTCTTTTTTTCTTTTTTTAAAGAGAGAGAGAGAATTTTTTTAATATTTATTTTTTAGCTTTTTTCAGTGGACACAACATCTCTCTTTGTATGTGATGCTGAGGATCGAACCTGGGTCACAGGCATGCCAGGCGAGTGCGCTACCACTTGAACCACATGCCCAGCCCAACGAATCACCTTCTTCTAACTCTCTATTCACCCTAACCTAATTTCCTCCTTGGAGCCCCAAACTCCTGTGCCAATACTCCCTACTCAAAGGACCTCAAAGTCCAATATACACTCTTATTATGGAAATACTAGAGCACTTACACTCTGTACCTGACTAATTATTCTCTTACTGGGTCCTGGTGAATCATAAATGCCCTTGCTTGTTCACCTCCATATTCTCTTCCCTACTACAGAGCGTGGAATCCTATGGGTATGCAGTAAGGTTTGCCCCTATGACTAAACAGATGGACTAATGAGTAGCTTTGCCACTGAAATTGACACTTGATCAGGATGGGAGAAGGTTCCCACTGAATTTCTCCTTTTACACAAACACAGGTATTCCAGTAGTCACCCTTCCTCCTCTCTGAGGCACAAACATGGAGGTAATCATTTATTCAATCTGTGACTGTGGTCAGTAACCTTAACTGGTCACTTCATGATTTCCAGTTCTACTAGGCAAAGGACCCGGCCAGGTGAAATGCGGACCAACAGTGAGTGTCTAGGAGGAAAGCAGAAGCCACACCAGGTATTTCCAACAGAGGGGATTTAATGCAGGGCCTGGGTTACACATGTCGGGGAAGGCTGACAGCGGGCCATCCAGAGAGCCCCCTTGTCTATAAGGACAGGCAACAGCTACTAACCTTAGGGCTGGGGGAAACAGAAGGGAAGAGATGGTGTTACCAGAACCTAGAAGCTTTGCTGGGAGACCCCCCGCGGCTGGCGCCTGGCCCTCTGAGGGGGCTGCTGCGTGGTGGTTGCTTGGCCTTCTGGGGGGGACGCTGCTTGGCTGGAGGTGGTCGGACCTCTGGGCGGGGACGCGGCGGACGCTCGGACCTCGGAGGGGACCGTGGCTTGGCTGGTGCTCTGACCACCGCGGGGGGCGCCGCTGGCTGTGGCTTGGGCCTCTGAGGGGACGTGGCACGGCGGCTGGTTCTGAGAGGGCCAAAAGAAGCTGGAGGCTGGAGGCTGGAGGCTGGAGGCTGCAGCCAGGGCTCTCCTCGGCTGCTCAAGGGCTGCTGACGGGAGCTGGAAACAGGGGGGAAGGCCCTGCTCCCCCTCCCACCTTCCGATCGCCCTCGAGCGCCTTCCAGTGTCCGGACCTAGCTGGGAGCTAACTGTCAGGATCCCGGATTGCGGTTCGCGGAGCCCCAACCCCGGCATCACGGAGCGCGGAGGCAGGGCGCGCTGGGAGCCCAGAGACGACACGCGGGTGCCCAGCGCCGGCGCCAGGGGCAGCGGGGCGGCTCACTCACCTGGTCCTCTGGCAGGCGCAGCAGATCCAGTCCTCCTCTTTCTTCTGGTAGAAGCAGCCGCTCTTGCAGAGGCTGTATTTCCGATCCACGATCTCCCGCTTGGAGTTGAGGAAGGTGAAGGGCGGGCAGCAGTGGATGCTGAAGTGCTCGGAGAACTTCTGGTTCTTGGAGAGTCTAGGACCCTCCTTACCCATTTTCTGACTCATCTCACTGGAAACCGTCCATGTGGGAGAGATGGGGAGACATCAAACAGAGCTGTCAGGAAAGGGAGGTTTCCACCCAAGGAGGCCACCCTCCTGTGACTCCCACTGTCCCAGTTAATATTCAGGGTGGCCCTGCAGAACAAAAGCCTAGAAACTCAACGTCTTGCCCAACTCTACAGACGGAAACTAAATGAATGCTTATGGATGTTTATCTTTGCATTTTTAAAGTCATGCTTTATAGGAGAAAGACTATTCCTTATGTTTCAGAAATCTATACAGATAGAAAAAAAATCTATACAGGATAGCCAAACATATCTTTGGCTAAATAGTATTATAGATTTAGAAAAGGCCATTTGTCTAAAAAGCAAAAAAAAAAAAAAATAGTTTATTATTAAAACTCTAATCACTATTCATACAATAAAATACTACACAGCAATGAAAAAGAATAAACTGATACACACATTTGAATCTCACAAATATAATGCTGAGCAAAAAGAAGTCAGACACCAGAGGATGTGAGCTGTATGATTCACTCTACATGAGGTTCAAAAATAGGTAAAACTAATCTATGACGCTAGAAATCAGCATAGTTATTCTTGGAGAAGGTGGGATCTGACTAAGCAGAGGCCCAATAGAGCCTGCAAAGGGCTGAAAATGTTCCTTCTTGAAGTGAGAAAATTGCAGAAAATGTCCCAACTAACACTCCAAACACTGAAGCACACCGGGAACTTAAGTGACTATTTATCAACAAGAGTCAGCAACTATGGTGGGTCATAAGAATGTGCTGGGCACTGAGAACACTCCTGCTCTTGACAAACTCAAGGTCACGTTGGAAGAGATGTGCAGTGTGTAATTACAAAACAGTGAATTGTGGGCCAACAGAAATTGATACAAAAGTTCAAGGGCGGCAGAGAAGGATGAAGACAGAAAATATGATATGGATTTTTAAGGACAACTAAATTACATTAAGGAGATTTTTTTTAGATATTTTTGTTCTTTAATGTGAGATCTTCTGCTACAGATAGGAAGGAGGGCTGAGAAACAAATAGCATACAGGTAAAAGATATGTTTTTGCACTTCAGTTTATGATAATCCAAATTATGCATTACATCTGTTATGTAGGTTACAAATGCTCTTCCCTGATGTTTCATATGCCTTTATCATGAAAAAATAATTATTATGTAAACAAATTTATTAGCTCTTATTCAGCTTTTTATATTTTCTCTTAGGAAGGTCTTCTTCCCTAATTTTTTTTTTTGAGAAGTGGCATTGAACTCAGGAGCACTCAATCACTGAGCCACATCCCCAGACGTGTTTATATATATATATATATATTATTTAGAGACAGGACCTCATTAAGTTGCTTAGTGCTTCGATAAATTGCTGAGGCTGAAACTTGTGATCCTCCTGCCTCAGCCTTCTGAGCTGCTGGGATTACAGGTGTGCACCACCATGCCCTGCTGTATATTTCCATTTTAAAAGAAAATCTCTGGATCCCATTCCAACATCTATTTGCCTTCCCTATTACTTTCCTCGTTTCAGTAGGCAAAATGATCAATACTGTTTTTCTCCAAAAATCATCATTTTTCTCTTAAAATCATCAATGAGAGATGTCTATAGCTCTTATTTATTTCTCATTACATTCCACTCTGGCTTCTGTTCCTTTCTCAAAAGAAATGGATCCCCAAAGACCTCCATGTTGCTAAGACAGTTGTCTCCTTATTTGGTCCTCTCTCCACATAAACTCTTCCTTTTTCTATAATACCATGTTCTCCTAGACTTCTGTCCCAAGCCCCTTCTTAATATCCCTTATAGATTCACCTGCTTTATGAAAAATTTAATGTTCAGTCTGCAAGGTGTAATAAATACTAAATCATTAGTGGAATTACCATCAACCATTCAATTCAACATTTATTGTATATTTAGGTTGCTCCAGGCACAGTGCTCAGTTGATGTAGCAGACACAGAGTTAAATCATGCTTAGTCACAACCTCAAGAAACTTGTCCATCAGCTGGAGATACAGGCAAATTTGTGACTAGGATGCACATAGTGTGTTAATGACCACAAAACCAATTTATTGACCTCAAGTATGTAAATATCACTGAGAGGTGTAAGGGAACGAATCAGGTAAACATCCTGCTCACAATGAGCTCAGAGCATTGAGGGAAGAATGTGACACAGATATCAGGAAAAGCAATAGAAAAGACAGAATGCTCTGGAACATGAGAATATACAGATAAACCTGGCACAGGAAGTCCACGAGCAATAGGTAACATACTAGGCAACAGAACCAGATAAAACTTCATGGAAAGAAACATTTCATCTGGCCTTAAGATTTGTGTCAATCAGATATAAAATCTTGTGGAGGGATGGAAATGTTGGTCACCTAAGCAAAGACACACAGGGATGAATTGTCGTATCTCTGAGAACCTTTTCCCTGAAATGCAGAGTGGAATGTAAGCAAGGGAATAGCTCCAAGGTGCAGGTGATGAGGAAGGAAAGGACCGACCTGTCACTCTAAAGTGTTGAACCCTAATGACTGAAATCATCCCATCAGTCTGGGACACCCTGAGTTTAAGCCCAGGGCATCCAACAGTGGGGAGCTAAGCTGCCATCTTGAGATCCTTCACCTAAAAAAAAAAAAAAAAAAAAAAGGGGGGAAACCTTGGGATGGATGAGAAGATGCTCGTGAAGTGAGTGAGGGGCCAGACAAGGTTCCTTGGAAGAGAGATGGGTCAACCCTCAAGCCAAGGGAGAGGAGCCAAGGAAGAAGAAGTAGCAGGGATGTTCAGAGGGGAAGGACGATTCATAACCTCTCAGAAATTTCCCCATTTTCAGAAGGAGGAGCTAGCCAGCAATATGCAAAGAAGCCCTTTATCCCAACAGGCATTCATAGACCAACAAGAATATACCACAGTGAATCTCACCATCAGGTATATTCCCAAGACACTAATCAAAAAGAAAAAAAAATGAACTAAAATTAAATAGCAGAAAGACCAGTAGAGTAGAGGGAAGGGAACAGGGAAAGAGAGAAGAGGGGTAAATACTGGGAACTGAATATGAGCAAATTATATTTGATGACTTTTTAATTATGTCAAAATGAATAGAAAAAATGTTTTTAAGAAAGTTAAAGAAAGGCATTAAAAAATAAAAAAAATCAAAACCAAACATTTTTTGTATATTCTTTTTCATATGCTAAAGACCTGCCATATCCCTACCCAAATCCCATACATGTTGCAAAGTTCAGATCAAGTGTCTCCCACCATGAAAATTGCTAAAATAAAACACTTCAGGTCTGGCCATAGCAGTAGCAATTTCTGAAGGTACGAAGCATACAGGGACTGTCACTGTGCTTTCAACAGGAATCTCAGACATTCTCAATTCTCCCTGCCTTCTTGGGGTCATCGTTTCCCAAATGGCCCTGGTACCCATTACAACAGAAAATCTACCACGTGCCCCAACTTTCTAAGAAATGACTGGCATGGGGAAAGAGGAAAATTTCGAGTCTGCTGTGACTCTGAATCCTTAATCTGACTGAATTCTCCATTGGCTGGGAGTGTAGACCCACTCACTCTATGCCCTTCTCTTCTCCCAACACATCATGGGAGGGGTCTCGATTTCTCAGTTCCTGGCTTCCTTCACCCCCTGCCTTCCCCACCATGTCCAGCTGGGGGAGGCCTCACCTCTTGCTATCCATCAGTGCAAGGTCCTAAATTTAGGACAAAGAAATCATCTTACCTAAAAGAACACTGCCATTGTCCTAGGACAACCAGCTAGAAATTCATCCAGCTTTTAAAAGAACATTCCCCCTCTTCCTTAAGTCAAATGTTTGTATTCTGTGGAAAGCTCTAGCATACCAACTCTTTCTCCCAGTAGCAGAAATATGGAATTTTGTGGGTACATGCTTAATTAGTTATGTTTACTCCTTCCCAACTCTACCCCACAGCACCCTCCAACTTAGAAAAGTTAAGCTCTACATGCTAAACAAGAGCAACATACACAAGTCGTTCTTTCCCAACAAACCAGTAGGTTAGTTAACAAATACAGGCATATAACTAACAGCAGAGAAAAGAGGTGACATTTACTGAACACCTACTGTATGGTAATTGTTTTATATATTTTATTTTTTATAATGTGATATTATGATCAATAAACTACAGATGAGAATCTAAGGAACATGACTAAGTTCAAAAAGCCAGTAAGAGGCAGGGGATTTGAGTCCACAATGGTGGACGACTCCACCTTCTTAATTCTTAAATTAGTTCCAACACTGATCTGTACTCCTTCTCATCAACCCCACTCTCTGTGGAGCAGATGTTCAAGTGGGAGGCACATACTGGGCTTCCAGGACCTGGAGATGGGTTAAGGCTGCAGAGACTCATGGCTCAGTGTCCTAAAACAAAGAAGACTGAAAGCTGAAGAAAGACTTCAGACCCGAAGGGAAAAATGGAAAATGGAGTTGGAGACTTCACAACAATATGGTGGCCAGGACCTTGCTACCAGGGCGAGAAGGCTCACCTTGCAGGACTAGAATGTGAACTTGGAGTGGAGCTTGAGGGAATGAGACCCACAGGTCTCCCACAGCTCCTTGCATTACAGCCCTTCAGTAGAATTTTTAAAAATCTACGTTCACTGCTAAAACTCAGAAAACCTGAATGGATGAAAATAATACAAACTCCTAACCACTTGAAACAATTATTTTCAACAATCATCTTTTTTAAGAATATTTATATGTATTTGGAACAGTTATTTTTTTAAGAATAAATACATAGTTAATAGAAAAGAGGCCATAACTTAGGTATTGTTCAAATTTATCTACTAGAGTTGGAAAATCGCTTTTTAAAAAAATATTTATTTTTTAGTTGTAGTTGGACACAATACCTTTATTTATTTATTTTTATGTGGTACTGAGGATCAAACCCAGGGCCTTGCAGGTGCTAGGCAAGCGCTCTACCCCTGAGCCACAGTCTCAGCCCTGGAAAATCATTTTTTTTTAAGTGTTCAAT